AGATAGATAGATAGATAGATAGATAGATAGATAGATAGATAGATAGATAGATAGATAGATAGATAGATAGATAGATAGGAAAGAGAGAGAAAGAGAGAGAAAGAAAGAGAGAGGGAGGGAGGGAGAGATCAATAGAGATAGATAGATGAGAGAGGGGGGGAGGGAGGGAGAGAGAATAGATAGATATAGATATGGATGAATGGGTGGAGAGAGAGAGAGAGATAGGAAAGAGAGAGAAAGAGAGAGAGAAAGAGGGAGGGAGGGAGGGAGGGAGATCAATAGATAGATATAGACATGAATGAATGGGTGGATAGATAGATAGATAGATAGATAGATAGATAGATAGATAGATAGATAGATAGATAGATAGATAGATAGATAGATAGATAGAGATAGGAAGAGAGAGGGAGGGAGGGAGAGAGAGAGAGGGAGGGAGAGAGGGAGGGAGGGAGAGAAATAGATAGATATAGATAAGGGTGGGTGGACAGACAGACAGACAGACAGACAGGTTTCTGAGACAGGCTGCAGGCTCAGGCGGTTGCGTCTTTCACACACACACACACACACATTGCTCACTCCGAGCTGGGAATCCAGTGGCCTCAGTCCAGTCCTGACTGTAAGGAACGGTCTGGTTTCCCACGGTGCTTTCTAACCCTCCACCTGGCTCCCTCCCCATCCCTGCATCTGCCTCGCAAAGAGACCCTACCTGGCTTCAGTTCTGGTTCACACGCCCTTCTAAGGCTGGGAGTTCCCCTTCCTTGGCAACTTCAAGACGGGGGGGGGGCCTTCAGCCCTCAGAACCCCCCAGCCCCGGGAGTCGGAGTCCACCTGTCTGAACGTTGCCCAGGTTGAGGAACCCTCTTCTATCTAAGCCAGGGTCTGCGTTCCCACAACCGCCCCCCCCAAACTAGACCGACTCGGGTTCCCCCTGACCATCTGCGGAGCCTCTGCGGGCAACCGGATCAGCACCAATCCGGATCAGCACCAAACCGGATCAGCACCATGTTCTCGCCTGCAGACCCCGGCCCGGGCCAAGCAAGCGAGGGGCGCTCTGCACGTGCCCAGAGGCGCCCTGGCCGCACGCCCAGGCTGCCTCCCCGAGACTTCTCGCCTGCAGACCCCGGCCCGGGCCAAGCAAGCGAGGGGCGCTCTGCACGTGCTCAGAGGCGCCCTGGCCAGACGCCTCTGGCTCCGATCTACTCACCCAAGCGCCGGGCTGGGCGCTCAGCCCCTCCGGTCCCGGCCCCGGATTCGCACTCACCTCCGCCCCGCGGCGCCCTCCAGATGCGACTGGCCCAGCCCCGTCCGCGGGCGCCGCCTCGGAGCGCAGGGCGGAGGAGGGTGGGTGGAGAGGCGAAGCTCCGCCAGCCCTTCCTCCGCCGGCGGATCGGGGATCCCGGGCCAGCTTCCCCGGTGGAACTCCTGCCTGGCGGCTTCCAGGGACCGGGGGGGAGCCCGCGGGCGCCAGGGGCGGGCGGCGAGCACGAGCCGCGGGCGCAGGTTGCAGATCTATCAGCCGGCCGGGCGCCCGCGCGCTTCGTGTCGGTTCCCAGGGGTCCCCGCACGCCCGCCCTGCAAGGTAGGCCAGGTAGCTCGAAAGACCTGGCTCTGAAGTTGGTTTGGAGGGGGGGTTTCATGTTTGGGGGGGGGGGCTGGATAGATTTACTGACAGTTAGAACAATTAGAAACCGTTAGAAAAACTTCCCGACAGTGAGGACAATTAACCAGTGGAACCACCTGCCTCCAGAAGCGGTGAATGCTCCAACACTGGAAGTTTTTAAGAAGAGACTGGACAGCCATTTGTCTAAAATGGTGTAGGTTTTCCTGCCTTAGCAGGGGGTTGGACTTGATGACCTCCAAGGTCCCTTCCAACTTTTTATTATTATTATTATTATTATTATTATTATTATTATTATTATTATTATTATTATTATTATTATTATTATTATTATTACTATAGATTCCCCCCTTCCCCTTCCCTTATTCTACAGTCCTCGAGGTACATTCATTTAGTGTCCATTGACTCGTGACCGTTTTTTACACTTACGACCGTTGCAGCATCCCCCCCGCACGATCATGTGATCAACATTTAGACGCTGGGCCTCTGACTCGTAGTTATGACGGAAGCGGCGTCCCGGGGAGGGGGGGGTCACACCTGATCCCCTTTGGTGACTTTCCGACCGGCAAAATCAATGGCAAAGCCAGATTCGCTTAACGACCGTGTTCACTTAAAGTCTGCCATGATTCGCTTAACAACTGGGGCAAGCAAGCTGGGGAAAAACTCACTTAACAAAACGGTCTCGCTTAGCAACAAAAAATCGGGGGCGCAGTCGTGGTCGTAAAGCCGAGGACTGCCTGTGCCCCCTCCCACCCAATCTTTCAGCTCGGGCTGTGAATTGCGTTTTGCATTTTTGCGGTCTTTTACTTAACTCGTCTCTGTCTTTTCATATTGTAAGTCGCTCCCAGCTACTTTGTGTGTAAGTGTAATAAATAAAATAAAAAAGGTCAGCAGGGGGCGCTTTGGAGGTTAAAGGGGGGCTTAAAGCTGGGAATTGCAACTCCACCTCCCCCCCCCAAATTGATTGGGCACATTCCCACCCCACCCCCCAACTCACTCCTCCAGCCTCTGGGGTCACCAAGAGAAGTTTTGAGGTTTTCCTGCGGCCGTTTTTCAAAAAAAAAAATGAAGCATCGGACTACAAGGTCCATCCTCCCCAGCCCACCCGGCAGGAGGGGAGCTGAAGACCATCCAGCCCCTCTGCATGGTGGCTGATGGTAAAGAGAGACAGACAGACAAGACAGTGGTCCACCCTTTGTGGGACTACAATTCCAACGATGCTGATTCTGGGCAGCCCTGGGCGGGGAGCATGGCCATTGTAGTTGCTGGGAGCGGGGGGGGGGGAATCACTAGACAGCAAGGGATAATGCATCTTAAGTCCTCCAGCCATTTGTCCGAAATGGTAGAGGGTTTCCTGCCTGAGCAGGGGGTTGGACTAGATGACCTCCAAGGTCCCTTCCAACTTTATTATTATTATTGTTGTTTCCTGGGAATGCAAAAATGGCTGGACTACAACTCCCATTGGCCTCAGCTGGCGGGCCACTTGCCCACTCTGCAGCACGTTGACGGAGGGGATGAATAGAGTTGCTGAAATAAATTGTTTTATGTTGAATGGATGCATTATTTAATCCACACATTTACGTCGAATGGGTAAATCTTTAATAAATAGAACATTTTATATCAAATGGATAAATATTTAATAAATATAATTGTGCTGAGGCTGCCGCCATGTTTGTTGTGGATTTTTAATGTTTTTACCTGTGAGTTGGGAAGACCGATATATTTAATTATGAATAAATTGCGCTTCATAACTTTTCTGCCCTTTGCACGCTGCAGCATTAAACCACAATTAATCCACCGCGCTGAGTTGATGCCATTTGCTTCTCTTGTCGCCAACAGACCCAGGTTTAGAACTTACCAACTTTGATAATTAATTGAGGGGTCACAGACATCGTGGGGGAAAGCGATTCGTGATTTTAAGTCAAATGGGTGTCTTGGAACTCAAAAAACTGTTATTTTAATAAGTTCCAAGCGACAAAAAAAGTCCCAAAAAAGCAGGAGAAAGGCAGCTCTCTGGTTAATAAGGAACTGATTAAATATATAAGGAAAGGCTGCTGGAATTGGGTAGGTCCAGTTTAATGAAGAGAAGGACGAGGGGGAACATGATAGCAGCCTTCCAGTATCTCAGGGGCTGCCCCAAAGAAGAGGGAGTCAAGCTATTCTCCAAAGCCCCTGAAGGCAGGACAAGAAGCAATGGAAGGAAACTCATCAAGGAGAGAAGCAACCTGGAACTAAGGGGGAATTTCCTGACAGTCGGAACAATTAACCAGTGGAACAACCTGCCTCCAGAAGCGGTGAATGCTCCAACACTGGAAGTTTTTAAGAAGAGACTGGATAGCCATTTGTCTAAAATGGCATAGAGTTTCCTGCCTGAGCAGGGGGTTGGACTAGATGACCTCCAAGGTCCCTTCCAACTTTATTATTATTAGTAGTAGTAGTAGTAGGTCCAAGGTCCCTTCCAAATAGATTTGGATGTACAAATGTACAAATGCTTGTTGAGAGCCACCCTGGAATCTTCAAATAAATCTTACATTTTATTTTATTATTATTTTTTTATGGTATGAAAAACAAAATAAAATACATAAATTGATAAATACTTCCAAAACCACTGTTAGAAATGCACTATTGTCAACTTATATTTTTAATCACGTGAGCGTTTTTCCAGTGCCGTTGTAACTTTGAAACAGTCACTAAATGAGTTGTTGTTAAGTCGAGGACAATGGGGCAGCCTCTCCTGCCTGGAGGGAAATTCAGATCAAAAGTGTGTCGATGCCCCCGGGAAAGTGCCGAGTTCGAAAGATGACTCAGCGGAGAGGCTGGTTTCTTCCAAAGTCCTAAATCAGGGGTAGGCAACCTTGGCCCCTTCATGACTGGTGGATTTCAACTCCCAGAATTCCTCAGCCAGCATGGAGGAACTATGGCCCTTCATCACTCGTGGATTTCAACTCCCAGAATTCCTGAGCCAGCATGGGGGGAACTATGGCACCTTCATGACTCGTGGACTTCAACTCCCAGAATTCCTGAGCCAGCATGGGGGAACTATGGCCCCTTCCTGACTCCTGGACTTCAACTCCCAGAATTCCTCAGCCAGCATGAGGGAACTATGGCCCCTTCATGACTCGTGGACTTCAACTCCCAGAATTCCTCAGCCAGCATGGGGGAACTATGGCCCCTTCATGACTCCTGGACTTCAATTCCCAGAATTCCTGAGTCAGCATGGGGGAACTATGGCACCCTTCATGACTCGTGGACTTCAACTCCCAAAATTCCTGAGCCAGCATGAGGGAAACTATGGCCCCTTCATGACTCCTGGACTTCAACTCCCAGAATTCCTCAGCCAGCATGGGGGAACTATGGCCCCTTCATGACTCCTGGACTTCAATTCCCAGAATTCCTGAGTCAGCATGGGGGAACTATGGCCCCTTCATGACTCTTGGACTTCAACTCCCAGAATTCCTGAGCCAGCTTGGCTCAGCTTGGAAACTCTCCCTTTTCCCTCAGCATGGCTGGCTCAGGAATTCTGGGAGTTGAAGTCCACGAGTCATAAAAGAGCCAATGTGGCCTACCCCTGGCCTAAATCGAAGCTGGGCAGACTTCGTTCCATTCCTGTCGAGACAGAATTTGAACTGGTTTCACTTCATTTTCACCCAGTAAAAGTCAACCACAACGTTGTGTGAAGTCAACCGGCCTGTGTGAAACATTTATCTCCTGCACTGGGTAATCCTCGCTTTACGATCCCAATCCAGCCCCAAATTTCAGCGGTTAAGGGAGACGTGTCTTCAGTTGGTTCTGCGCCTTTCCTGTCGCCGTCGTTAAGCGAATCACTGCAGCTGATAAAGTCAGTCACCCGGTTGTTAAGGGAATTGGGCTCCCCCCGTTGACTTTGCTTGTCAGGTCGCAAAAGGGGATCGCGTGACACACACACACACACCCCGGGACACTGCGACCGTCGTAAATATGAGTCAGTGGCCAAGTGGGTCTGAATTTTGATCACGTGACCCTGGGGGGGTGCTGCAAAGGTCGTTAACTGTGAATAAGGGTCATAAGCCACATTTTTCGACGCCGTTGTAAGTTTGAACGGTCACTAAGCGAACTGTTGTAAGTTGAGGACTGCCTTATTGTATTGTCCATTTACTCTCTCTCTCTCTCTCCTTGCTGATGCTTTAATTAAACTAAATTTCTATATATCAATGACTGCATGATCTCTGGAGGTTGACCTTGTGGTCTCCTTTCCTTGAGGCTGTCTGCTCCCCGGCCCACTCCACATTGGGCACATTCGTGAAGCCTGGTTTTATTTATGCAAAGCCAGAGCGTCTGATTGAGAGGTAGTTTGGTCTAGTGGTTAAGGTGCTGGCTTAAGAACTAGGAGACGGTGAGTTCTAGTCCCGCCTGAGGCATGAAAAGCCAGCTGGGTGACTCTGGGCCAATCACCAGGAGACGGTGAGTTCTAGTCCCGCCTTAGGCATGAACGCCAGCTGGGTGACTTTGGGCCAATCACCAGGAGACTGTGAGTTCTAGTCCCGCCTTAGGCGCGAAAGGTTGCTGATGGCTTTGAGCCAATCACCAGGAGGTGGTGAATTCTAGTCCTACCTTAGGCATGAAAACCAGCTGGGTGGCTTTGGGCCAATCACCAGGAGAAAGAGAGTTCTAGTCCCGCCTTATCTATGCAAGCCGGCTGGGTGACAACTGACTCACATTTATGACAAGTCCTGGATCATGTGATTCCCTTCTGCACCCTTCAAACAAGCAAAGTTATTGGGAAACTCTGTTCCTAACTTAACGATGGTAGCGATTCACTTAACAACGAAAAGCCGTGAGAAAAGTCGTAAAACGGGGTAAACCTCACTTAACAAATTCCTCACTTAGCAGCAGAGATTTGGGGGTATCTTGTGGTCGTAAGTTGAGGACTACCTGTATCGGAAGACCTTGTGTCACGTCCACCAGGAAGAAAACCCGCTAGCCGGAAAAATCCAGAGTTTAATCATTTCAGAACAGACAAGCCAGGATCTCGCGCCGCAACCGGCCTCTTCGTCCCTCATTCCTCCAAACCAGGTTCCTCGCTTAAACTACAGTTAAAGACTTCCTGGAAGACTTCCAGGAAGGGCTGCGTGGCCTCTTCCACCGAGACGTGTCTCCGGAGTTCCTGGCTGAGGGAGGTGACCCCCAGCCCCTCCAGGCCACACGGGACGATGTGGTCAAACCAGGTTAAGTCAGTGCAGCAGTTGAGGGCCAATCCGTGCGAGGTGATGTGTCTCCCGCAATGAACACCTGGAGGCAAGCAGGACAGGTGCAATATTACATTTAATATTTTAATTAATATTCATACCATATTAATAATCCTTGACTCACAACAGATCGATAATAGTAATAATAATAATAATAATAATAATAATAATAATAATAATAATAATAATAATAATAATAGACAAAATGCCAAATCCAGTCTGAACATCTGGCTGACTGTGCGATGATCCATAATAATAATAATAATAATAGAGTTGGAAGGGACCTTGGAGGTCATCTAGTCCAACCCCCTGCTCAGGCAGGAAACCCTATACCATTTCGGACAAATGGCTGTCCAGTAATGACCATTCGAAGTTACGTCACTGGGGAAAAAAAAGCGACTTAGGACCGTGTTTCACACTTACGACCGTCGCAGCGTCCCCGTAGTCACACGATCAAAAGTCGGGCGCTTGGCAACTGACTCGTACTTACGACGGTTGCCAAGTCCTGGGTTTACGCGATTGCCTTTTGCGACTTTCTGACGAGCCAAGTCAAGGGGAAGCTGGCTTCACTTAACAACCGACTTCACCCCTGCGGCGATTCACTTAACAACGGTGGCAAGGAAGGTCGTAAAATGGAGCCAAACTCATTTAACAACGGTCTTGCTTAGCAAATTGTGTTTGTGAGTCAAGGATGTTGTTTGCAAATCACAATTTGTCGCATGGGGGGGGGAAAATGACTTTAATCGGCCCCATAAGCTGTCCCAAAATTGCCTTCCCCTTCTTTGCTCCCTTCTGGAGTCCTGGGAAGGAGTCTGCAGCATGAAAGGGAGGGAAGCATGGGTAGGGTAGTCCGCTCTCCATGGGCATGGCAGTCCCTTCTCTCCCAGCACTGGAGAATGCCAGAAAGGCTGAGGTCAAAGGTCAGGGTAGTCCATTCTCCATTCGCAGCCTGCAGACAGGGCTGGTGGGGCACCATGGGCCTGGCAGTCCTCCTCCTATCACCCTTTCTGGTGCTCCAAGGAAGCCAAGAACCATGGGCACAGTAGTCCCCCTCTCCGTTTGCACCCTACAGAGCTGGCCCAGCACTATGGGTCTGGCAGTTCCCCTTCTATCACCCATTCCAGAACCCCAGGGTAGCCAAGCTCAAAGGGCAGGTTGGTCCCCTCCCCATTTGCAGGCCAGGCACCATGGGCCTTGAAGTCCCTTTCTATCACCTGTTCTGGAGCCCCAGGGTGGCCAAATCCACGGGCACGGTAGTCCCCTCTCCATTTGCAGCCTGCAGACAGGGCTGGTTGGGCACCATGGGCCTGGAAGTCCCTTTCTATCACCCATTCTGGAGCCCCAAGGAGGCCAAGAACCATGGGCACGGTAGTCCCCTCTCCATTTGCAGCCTGCAGACAGGGCTGGTTGGGCACCATGGGCCTGGCAGTCCCTTTCTATCACCCATTCTGGAGCCCCAAGGAGGCCAAGAACCATGGGCACGGTAGTCCCCCCTCTCCGTTTGCAGCCTACAGACTGAGCTGGCCCAGCACCATGGGCCAGGCAGTCCCCATGGGCACGGTAGTCCCCGCTCCATTTGCAGCCTGCAGACAGGGCTGGTTGGGCACCATGGGCCTGGCAGTCCTCCTCCTATCACAGATTCTGGAGCCCCAGGGTGGCCAGGAACCACGAGCACGGTAGTCCCCCTCTCCATTTGCACTCTACAGACTGAGCAGGTCCAGCACCATGGGCCTGGCAGTCCCCTTCTATCATCCATTCTGGAGCCCCAAGGAGGCCAAGAACCATGGGCACGGTAGACCCCCCTCTCCATTTGCACTCTACAGACTGAGGTGGCCCAGAACCATAGGCCTGGCAGCCCCCCCCTATCACCCATTCTGGAGCCTCAGGGTGGCCAGGAACCATGGACACGGTAGTCCCCTCTCCATTTGCAGCCTGCAGACAGGGCTGGTTGGGCACCATGGGCCTGGCAGTCGTCCTATCACAGATTCTGGAGCCCCAGGGTGGCCAGGAACCACAGGCACGGTAGTCCCCCTCTCCATTTGCACTCTACAGACTGAGCTGGCCCAGCACCATGGGCCTGGCAGTCCCCTCCTATCACCCATTCTGGAGCCCCAACGAGGCCAAGAACTATGGGCACGGTAGTCCCCTCTCCATTTGCAGCCTGCAGACAGGGCTGGTTGGGCACCATGGGCCTGGCAGTCCTCCTCCTATCACCCGTCCTGGAGCCCCCGAGCGGCCGAGAACCAGGGGCTCACCGATGGCGCAGAGCTTGCGGTCCCCGAGCCAGACGCCGGTGCGGGGCGGCGGGAGGGCGCGGGCGGCGGGCAGGCCGAGGCGGCGGCAGGCGTCCCGGGCCAGGCGCTCCAGGGCGGCCACGTAGGCGCGCAGGGCGAGGCGGCGGCGGCGCAGGTCCAGCACCGGGTAGGCCACCAGCTGGCCC